TATATATATATATATATATATATATATATATATATATATATACACACACACACACACACACACACACACACACACACATATATAATATTTACAAATCGTGTTAATTGTCAATTAACTGACGAATGATCGAACACCGCACAACGCAATAATTGAATTAACGAATATTCGGTTTTATCAAATCTCGACAGATTGACACGAATTGAGACGCAAGACTTTTTTTCCTCATCAATATATAAATACGATGATATTGTGTTGTTTATGAAAGCTTGGTTAACTCGCGAGACGTGATTGCCTCAACGAGATCGAATTGATCGCGAGAATATAGAGATTATTGCGAGCACGAATCGCGCTCGATTTATATTAAAGGAATGCATTTACGTCTATCGCACATATTCTCTATTCCATCGCGTTCGAGCGACTTCGCGTTGTGCGGATTGTGCGAACGATTGCGCGAACAAAAGTTGTGTCGCACTTACTCGGATCGAAGAACACGATGGCTTTGAGACACGCGAATTCCGTGTCATCGATCTGGACCTCGTTCAATGGCTTCACTAGCTCTTCCATTACCCTGACGCCCACCTTGCTCATGTCCAAATCCTGTTGATTGGTCCCCTCTGCGGATTGCAACGATATCACTGATAGACGCGATTACGCCGTTCGTTCTCGCGCTCGTAGAAACTGAGTCCGGTCAGAGAGAGATGTCTCGCAGATATGTTACATATACCGCAGACCAATTATATTCATGCGTCGGCATGCACTTAAGTAGAGTAGCACATAAAACACAAATTCCGGACTCAGTTGACTACCTACGCCCCACAATCGTGCAATGGTAAACGAGACATTCAGTTAAGTCATACAAGTTGCAGCATATATATATTATATTGTTTTTTAATTTTTATTCACAAATAAATTTTTCAGGTAAACATTTAAAAGTTGCTGCAACACAATACCCTTCGCGAACAAACATGGATCTTCCAGACCCAATCAAAAATTGCGTATCAGTGTCTAGTAAAAATTAGGTTTTTTAAACGCTCACATCTTCGAATATTAGAGATTTTTTCAATTTGTTTTTGTTTTTTTTCATCGATGCAAAAAAACAAAATTGAAAAAATAAAAAAAAAATTGATTTTTCGCGGAGATATTCGATTTTAAAGTCGCCTAGGTCTCACAGACCCAGTCTATCCAATTTGTACGTCATTTTTACAGTCTGTCCACGAAGGGTTAACATTTAAAAGTGATAAACTGAACGAGTCTCGTTTTACCAATCGCTTTCCACCAATAGTTTTTTTTTTTTTTTAGTAGAAATTCCGCAATGTCATCAAAAAACTTTTTTTATCCTGTGATTACAATCGTGATTAATTAGCGATTAAAAAAATTTTAAACAACGGCATTTTTTTTAATCAGTATCGCGTAACACAACAATAATAATATAATACTATTGTTGTTTTGTCGTGCAATTTACAGAGGCAGAATTTATTTTCATGTGTATTTATAAGATAATAGTTGTTAAAAAAAACAAAAAACCAGAATATTTTATTACTACAAAATCACATAATCTCATTGTGTTATTTTGATTTATAAAACACATCAATTAACAGATATTATTACATATAATAGTTAGTATTTTCACACATGCTTCAAGAGACAGACAATTTGAAGTCAGACCCTCATCTCTCGATGCAAATTCGAATCAAACTTCTATTTTCATTGAATAGTTTTGCTTTTTCTACAGAAGCATGATTTAAATGTGTATTCATAGTCGTGATTCAATCTGATGAGATTCAGATTTTCAACCAGATTCGAGACAGTCGAAGTATTGTTTCTAAATTTAGCTCAAACCGATTCTCAGGTTGAATCACGGACTTGCATATGAATGCACGGATCTCGATAAAATACGTGAGTTTTTCAGTCTGGATAATTATATTATTATTAAATGTCAAATTTGCATCGACGTAAACAAAAAAAAAAAAAAAAAAAAAACCCATTCCAAGTTTAATTGTATCCGATTATAGTATATTTTTATAACCCAGCAGTGTTATTAATTTATCACAGTTCTCGAGCGAGGGTAAAAAAAAAAAAAAAAAACTGCATGCCGTAAGAACTCTATATGTGTCTTGCGACTCACCAGATAAATCCGATATGCGAGAAAAGACCTAGGTACATATAATTTGCCGTTAAGAATATCAAGATCGCTGATGCGCGAACTTGATCGTACACGAACAACAATCGCGCTCAATCTCCGAAAAAAAAAAAAAATCGTTTATTAAAGCAGAATTAGCTGTATTAAAATCGCGAATGGAAATTTATTTACGACTTTTACGCGAGATTGAAAAAAGATAAACGAGATACGAGAGTGAGAGAAGCGCCGAATTAAACGGCTGCTTAATCGAACGTGGAATTTGCGTGAACGGTAAAAATTACGTAAGCAAAAAGAATGAAGGTCGTCGTCGAATCGGCTATTTCGAATAGATTCTCTTTCTCGTGTGCGCGCTCGAATCACGAAAAACGCTGACTGGAAACGAGCGGGAGACATCGTATCCGCGTTTTTGTCCACTGCAATATCGACGGCTTTTGTCAAAAAACACTCACATTGCTTAGAGCATATATTCTTGCGCTCGCTCGATAAGAAAATCTTATTTCGCGTTATATCTGAATGCGGTCGAAAAGTTTAACATTTTAGTAAAAAAAAAGGTTCGTGTATTCAAACTTTCACTTTCTTCAGATTTCGTTACATACATAAATATATATTTGTCACAAAACAAAATGTGTGAATTTTTTGTCGTCTATTATGTATTTTTTTTTTTGCAATATATTTAAGAATACGGAAAATAAAAAGAATATAAAAAATCCGAAAAAATAAAACATATTTTAGATTATTATGAACCGAAGCCTTTAGAAGATCAAAGCGTCGAAAAAATGCGAAAACATAATTTTGCTTTGAAGAGAAGAATATTTTTAAATAATTATTTCTCACAATATTTTTGAAGTTATGTATGTGCATAAATAATAAAGACGAAATTTATTATGGCAAACACTGATTAACTTTATTTATGTTTTTGTTTTTTGTTCCGTATGACGCGAGCCATACGACAGAGAGACGAGAGAGATGTTTTTTACGTAACGCGCTCAAGGAGAAAATTGATCCGAGTTTGCCTAATATTCCTTTCGCGTCGCGTCTCCGAAAATAAGCGAAGATTTCGTTTGGAGAGTTCTCAGACATTGTTTTCGGCACGCAAATGTTTAACCCTCGCGTTAGTTATTATATAATATTATGTTAGTCTCAGCGAGGGTGGAAACGCAGCGTACAAGTGTTATGAAGTAGAAGCGTTTGTCCGGAGCAAACCGGGGAACGATTATCAAACTCGCATCGATAACCATTATCTTACGTTCTCAAGGAGAAAAAAAAATTCTCAGAAGACCGATGATATTCGAGACACGTTTTCGAACTTTAGAGATATTTTTCGAACGCGTGTTCTCTCAATCAATGAGTAAGCTCAACCGGACTTGTTAGTAATTTGATATCGCTTTTGCTCCGTTTCGGGAAAAAGTATACATAAGCTGACCAATGACACCAATGAGACAGACAGAAAGAAAGATAAAACTTTCCGAACTTTACATACCAGGACAGTTCTTCGTAATGATACAATTATTGCCGAGAAGCAGCACGTCGTTAAGATTCATGCTGCGCCTCGCAACTCCCAGCAGAAGATGTTCGCCCGCGTGCGCCCTAAGTAAAGCAACCTGATCGTCCAGCGACAGTTCCATAAACGCCGGAATGTACTTGGCCCATTCGACCAGGAGCAACAATTGTTCTTTCATGCTGTCGCACACGTCATTTATGCCCGCTATCCGCCTTGTGCTGAGATCGATGTCGCTGCTCGCCGGACTGCCTAGCTGTTAAAATCGCAAGGATTGTTATGACATTGTGCTTGTTAAAAAAAAAAAAAAAAGAAAAAAAACACGGACGATAGATAATCGTGAAAAGTTACGAGAGATATGACAGATAAGAGGTAGAAAAACAATCGAATTGTATTCTTGTTTGTGAGGAGCAATGACCTAAACACGAATGTCATTAGATCGAATTAAATGTATTTATTCGATGATTATAAACGAAAGGAACAATATAATATAAAAATGTTTAATGGTTAATATATTCATCATCGTCAGAGCTTCAATTGAAACATAATCGCTTAAATAAATCTCTAAATCAGAAATAAACTTGATGCGTATTCAACAGACATCACACAATTGTATTAAAATATATTATAATTAGTAAAATTACTTTGAATCGCGTGTGTGTTGATTGTGTTGAGAACGTTTTGCGCGAATGTAAATATGATTAATGAAACGCCAGGTAATTTTGTAAGAAGAGCTGCTCGTCATCGGAGTCTCGCAAGTAGAAGATATAAGTTTAGACTTCTTGCAAAACTCTTTCCCGGCGGAAGGTGGCGAGGAAAATAAACGGGCGCAATTATACAATTTTTAAACGTCACATCAAGACCCGGCGGATTTAAAGCGCGCATTAACAAGCTGAAAATCGTGATTATAAATATTCAACTCGATCGAGGTTAAGCCTTACTGACCTCTCGCGTCCCCGCATGTCTGCTGAGCATTTCAGCCTGCAACAAGGAAACCACCGACAAGCCGCTACCATTGTTCGCCTGTTCCTCGTAGCTGGGCCGTCGGCAGCTTATGCGGTCTCTTTCGTTTTGCACGGCTGCAGAAAGAATCAGCTTGTAAAGTACTACTTCTACTTTTCGCGCGCATGTATATATATATATACATATATATATATATATATATATATATATATATAT